GACAAGAGGCACAGCCACAGCCACAGGCAAGCCCCCAGGCCCCAGGGCCAGGCCCCAGCCCTGCCCCCCGCCCTGGCACAGCCGGAGCCGCCGGAGGACCAGTAGCGCGTAGTCGTCAGAGCTGAGCCTGGCCAGGCGGCGGGCTTGGTAGTGCATACGTGCCGGAGATAGAGTAGTATAGTACCTTACTGAAAGCACATTTTCCGAATAATGGTGTGCCTTACATGGTGTGCCGGCCGCTCTCGTACATACGGCGCACGCCTCGCCCCAAAGCGCGCATGAGTGGGTACGACCAGGGAAACAAGTTCATCTCCCGGCCAGACCTTGTCGCCGTCGCCCTCGAGGGCAGCCCAGACGGAGGCGTGTTCGCGGTAGCGGGCGCCGTCGATGGTGTTTGCGCGCGGCCGTTCGCGAGCGTGAAGACCGGACTCGGTGTCGGGGGGGAAGCACGGCACGAACTGGTCGTCCCGCTGCATCTGCATCGCTGCGGGCGCGGCCTCGAGGCGCCGCCGCGCGATGTACTCGTGCGATGGCACGGGCACCGAGGGGCAGGGAGTCGAGTTTTTGGTCGACATCGGGGACGTCAGCTGGCGGTAGGGGAGCCGTGAGGCGCTTCGGCAGAGGCTGTAGATGGTGAGGATGAGGGGGTTCCGGAGGAACAGAAGCTCGATCAGATTTGTCGCGGAGAATAAGATGGCAATCGGCAGGTCGACGAAGAGCACCATCGGGATCAGATATGGAAGGCGACGCCAGGCGAGGAAGGCGGGAGGCACGCCGACAGCAGCGTCGGAGCTGCAGAGGCCGAGCGCGATAGGTGGCGAGCCGAGGAGAACGTAGAATGGAAGCAGAATCAATTGCAATGCTGGCGTGAACACGAAGCTTACGAGGGTCTCAACGCACGAGCGCAGCAGGCGGGCGGCCGTCATACACACAGGGGGGCAGGCAAACGAGGAGCAAAGCAGCGGAGAGCCACGCCAGGGGGGAACGTGCCGAGATGCGCGGCGATGACTTTTTTCTTTTTTTGCTCCTCTGATTTGTGGTGATGCGTCGCCCCCAGGAGACGGGATATTTTTGCATGCAATCCGACATATATGGCGTGGGGTGCCCTTGGCAGGGTCGCCACCTCCACCCGACGGATCTTGTGGTTGTCGCAGTCCGCCACAAACAGCGCGCTCCCGTCAGGGCTGAGGGCGACGTGCTAAGAGCTAGAAGAGGAGATAGAGAGAACAACCCAAGCTGTCCCGCCCGCGTTATTGCGTACACCAACACCACAAAACGCTCTCTCTCCTCCTCACTCAGGGGAACACAACTACCGAGTTCCTAGGTCTAGCTGCCACGTTCAAAACCAGGACGGCGGCAGTGGATGGTGCTATATCACGGGCATGATCCGTGGAAAGTGGAGTGGGTGCGTGGTGCGTGGTCCGGGATAGTAGAGCAGGCGCTTTGTGGGTGGCGGGTTATCGCAACCTTACGTGTGGTCTCCACAGTGTCTCGCGGTGGAGCCCGATGCTGCGGTGCAAAATACCGCATCGTTCGCTGGGGCGGTTTACGCCCGAACTGCGCCCGAGCAGGACGCTGGACTACATTGATGTCGAAACAACTCATGCGGTGACCGTTGCTAAACAGTACGCTCTTGTGGTGCGTCGCGCACTTTCATCTTTCTGTATTCTGATAGAGCTTAGAGGCGCAAGAAAAATCGTTCGTACCTCTGCTACCTCTCCTCATCCACCACGTCCCAGGTCTCTAATCGCGCTTCTCATCTCGAATCCATGCTGCCGTCAGCCGCTCCCGCTCCATGTCTGACGACAGCGCCTCGAGGTTGTCGAGGTAAGCCTCGCGCCGCCCCAGCACCACCTCCTCCTCCGGTCTGGCGACCCTGCCAACCTCGTCGTACTTTTGGCTGAATGAGAAGAGCCACGCGCCGAGCGCCGCACGCTCCGCCACGTTGAGTGGGCGGCGCGCGCTCTCCTCCGATTCCGGCTCGACACTGTTCCGCGCGAGGTACCGGGTGGCGTCGCCGCCAGCGACCAAAAGGTGGTACTCGCCGCCCGGCCCGTATAAGCGGCGCGCCGGCGCGACGTTGAACACGCGCCCGTCGGCCGCGAGCAGGATTGGGCCGTCATCGCCGTCGCTGCCATCGAAGCACGCGAGCTCCCTGCGCGTCCACAGCTCACGTGGAGGCAAGTACGCGGCGCTAGTTACTTCCACGCTCTTGCTCTTTGTCGCGCGGCGGCCGGCGCGCCGCGCGCGCAGCGATAGCACGTACTGCTGCTGCCAGAGCCACACCGCGAGCGAAGCGACCAGCGCGAGAACGGCGGTGCCCGCCGTAGCTGCGGCGAGCGTGGCGCCGCCGCGGAGCAAGTCAGCAGCGACCACAGCGGCATCGGCGGCAAGATCGGCGACGTCGGAGGAGACGACGCCGCACCGCACTGCAGTAGCGCGGCTGGGCGCGAGCAGGAGTGGCTGGAGTGGGCGTGGTTGTAGGAGCAGCATGCAGCCTCTCCAGACCTGAGCGGGCAGTCCGTTGTGTCTTCTCTCGTGTGCGAATCCTAGCTAGTGCATAGAAAGAAAGAAGAAAAACGGCGGGCAGGGACGGATGGATGGGAGGACGGCACGCCGCCACCACACAGGGATTTTAAGGAGAGGGGTGTGGTGCGCTAGCCGTCGCCCACCCTTGGGCGTCCGCCTCTTCCTATCTCTCTTCGCAGTCTCTCTCTCTCCGATTCTCGCTTCAACCTTCGAGCTTCGTGCCACCTCGCGGTCGCCCCCTTCTCGTCGTGCTCTCCCTTGTCGCTTCTTCCTCTGTCGCGTCGCTCTCCTCTGCCTCGTTCTGCGCCGCCGCCGCCAATCCTAGTGCTAGTGCTAGCGCAAGATCGCGCGCGAATTCTTTCCTACGCTAGCATGGCAGCTGTGAGCGCTGTCAGAGCGGTGTTTCGACACCGATATCGTTCAAGGAACGCTGGTCAAAAAACGTGGGTTGTTCACGTTTCACAGGTAAGTGTAAGGAGTAAGCGGAGCAGGAGCAGATAACAGCGATTCCTTTGTCACCCTGCAAGAGGTAAAGAAAGAAAGAAAGGGACAACCCAAGGGAGGGATGGGAGGACGGCACGCCGCCACCACACAGGGATTTTAAGGAGAGGACGGACGGACGGAAAAACACCCCCCTTTTATGCCTGACCCTGGGCATGGCCTCTCTGGGGGTGAGCTGGGTCGGCCACCTCCGGGGCTGCAACTCGCACGGTGGGTCCGCATCCGGGCGAGCATCCGAGGCCTGCGGTTGTCCCTTCGCTGGGCGCGACCGCCATGGAGATCCGCTGCACACAGATCAGTGTCTTTGGCGACTAGCCAGTGGATTGAGCCGCTTCGCAAGCTCCATCGGTGAGCTGCGGTGGCGCGCCGGCCGCTTCATGCATAGCTCTCCGGCGAGCGACCGCAAACGTGCAATCGAAGTTGCCCGAATGGTAAAGTGCAACTTTGGCATTTGGTAAAAGTTGCCCGAGTGGTCAGTGGGGAAAAAACCAAAGCGGAAAGGTGGCCCCAAGAGCTAAAGGTCAACATCCCCTCCGGCTACGACAATGCGAACCTGATCTGGTCCTCACGGGGTTGACCCGTCTCCTCTAGATCGAGACGGACTTCATGAACGGCCGAGCACTATTCTCCATTACTA